TCGTCGCGCCGGACCGAGGACGCTCTTGTATTTGTCGAATACGAAGTCACGTACCGAATACATTATCGGGTGGAATACGGTCTATGCATGTGAAGGTTGAAAAGCAGGCATGCAGGCAGGCAGGCAGGCAGGCAGGCAGGCAGGCGGGCAGGCTGAGAGCAAGCTAGCTGGCGGACAGACGGACAGACGGACGAACGAACGAACGGACGGGTGGGTGACTATATTGATTGTGTAGCCGGCTGACAGCGACAGTGACATATGTCACCGAGGCTTCTCGTTATCGCTGATTTAAACATGAGGCAACGAGGCCCTTGCCGAGTTGTCTGCGCTGCACCAGCTTCGTATTTCTGTCTACGTCTCCATCCCTCCCTCCAGCCCCTGTTATTATTATTGCCGCACATATTTTTTTCTCTTCCTCTTTCCTGGTCAATGTATTGACTGTCACATTGTCGGAAGCCTGACGACGTGACCTTTTTGATCACCGTACCGATGAAACGCCATGTCAGAAATAATTACGAGCTAGTCGCACGCAGCTATGTTGTTGTTGCTTGAGCGCTCGTTACTGTTATTATCACTCACGCGCCGTATAATATTGCACCAAATAACAGTTTTTCCCAGAGCCATACGACATATATTGTGATTTCATCGAATATTTGACATTGAATCATGACATTTCAAATGACACTGTTTGTTTAAAAAAGAATTTAATTTTCCTATCTCCTATTTCAATAAACAATATATCGTTGTGTCTAATATAGGAACTCGTAAATTTGAAGATAAACGTATGACAAACAGGTCACATTTTGGCGGAAGTTGCTACAACATAGATTGTATTGGAAAGCAACGATACGTACATAATCACGTAGCGCCCCCCTGTCATTTCGTGCTTCGAGTTCGATATATAAGAAGTAAGGGATGAGGCGAAGGGAGAAGAAAGAAGACTGCTATGATTTATTACCGGCCGCAAATTCTGTTTCTCCTCTGTGCACGCCAACTGCGTTTGCGTTCATCCATCTTTTTCCCTTTCACGGCTCACCGAGCAACTTTTCCCCAGCTTCCCCTCTCCTTCTTCCTTCACCCTCTTTGTTCCGCGCCATCTCTCAAAGTGACTGACTGCCTCCTTTATTATCCGCTTGTCAGCATTTTTACACTTTTATCCAGCGTTCTAGTATCTATTGTCCCCGAAGCGAATTCGTTTGGTCACAATACGTCATGAAGAACGATCATCCTGAAGTATTACTAAAGTATTGTTGAATCTCGTTGAAAATAGCGGTGATGTTTGAAAAGCTATTGCGGTCTAATGTCTGATTCGAATTGACGCATGGATTATAAATTATATACTTCGTAAGCGTTCTTTGGCTTTCGAAACGGAAAAATGGAGGACAGCTGCCGTTTCCAGGCCAATACACGTTCACTAATGGCCAGTCTTATCCATTTCCATACATTTAAATATAAACAATTCTAAAAACTATTTTTCTTAGGAAATGATTTATAGAAGCTTCTTTTGTCATCGAACTTCAAGATAAATATAATTGCATCTTATATATCGATTGACACGTCATGCTATTCTTCCAAATTCATAAAATATAATTTTTATTATTGTTTATGATTCTTCATTCCCACTTGACATTTTTATAACACAGCCCATAAAAGCTTTTACGATCGGCAAAATTTCCCAATTTCTTAAATCTATTTACAGGCAGGTATGACTAACCAGTACCCTAATGCTAGTCTGTAATAGCTCAGAAAATTATAGCCTAATCATAATAAATGTTATCTATCATTTCATGTATTCTATTTATCGCATTACCTACTTATATTACCTTCCTTTCTCTCGCTCATTTTACGACTACTGTAAACTAGAAAGGGTTTGTGTACGCATTATATTACTGTTACTTAAATTACTTTACAATAGCATTATTGTTACGTTATTAGAAGGACATTTTCATAAAACTGGCATGATCTATATCTATATTTATTAAATTTATTGTTTGCATACATGTATACATTTTCCTACGATTAACGAAATAATGCATATTTCACATTAGATGCAATTAGCATTGCATTTTACATAATAAACATTGTTTATGTCACTGCATCTGTCAGTAACACATCAAAGCTGAATCTTTATCCGTCTGGTAGCTGACGTTTTGAAATCTCCGAAACGTGGACTGAAGGAGCGGCGGAGATGAAAGAGAACTATATTAGCCGTAAACTCATCCGTCAGCGTCAAAACGTCAAAGACTTGCCATTGGGGTATTAACGGCGCCATAACTTCAGAGAAACAGAACAGGAGAAAGGAGAGCGGAGGAATGAGAGGGATACAGAAAGTCAAAGATATAGAATGGAAGTAGAACTCCCAAAGACCTTTATTTCTTCTGGGAAATATTACACGATAGAAAGATTTAATATTACCTTGTATCCCACTGTTTAGTTGAAAATGGAAGTTCAACGGATATAGACGCAATCATTCTTATTAGTAGACTTTCACTATTATTTATCATTATTCTTAGATTTGTTTAATACGTTACGATCTTAACTATGCAATAGCAAATTGTAATAATGTGTGTGAGATTAGACATAATTAATATACTATAATTGTTGTTCGTTTCACCCTTCACAAATAGAGTACGCACGATAAATATGTACAGAAAGTTATTAAAATTCTTAAAGTAATTTCTTATATATCTACATATCTACATATTTCTAAATCAGCAACAAATATGGTTCTATATTTTTATTCTTTTTTTTTTTTATTTGTTTCTATTGGAAGTTGACCTAAAAATGAAACTTTACATAGGACACTTTGCGTTTAAAATTGATTATATTTTATTGTATATTATACCATTTCGAAACTCCAAAAACATTATGAATTTAAATTTAAACTGCAACTGACATAACTGTATACATTTCTCAGACACTATTCGCGTACATTTCTACACAAAGTGTTTCTCGGGCTAATTATTGCTTACCGCGATTATGCGGTCTACGTAGCCAGCGTGTGGATATTGTCATAATTCGTTGTAATTACCTTGTAACATAACTGCTTCACCGATCGCTTTATCTTACTTAAAGTCATACCGCGTGAAATGGGCACAATCCCCTAACCGCGCGGAACGTTTGAGTTTCAACGCAGCTGGTATTCAAGTTTTTTAATGGCCACGTTTGGCGGGTGCAGCAGTCACGATGCGTAGCTTTTATTAATACACAGTACAGAACACACGTTTGTTTTAAAGGTTTCGCATAAATACTATTGCGACCATATTGCGAAAGCAGTTTCTATGAGTCGTGAAAACGGTATTTTTCTTCCAACTAATACATTATTGATTACATATTATGATAAACTATGACAGTTAGCCAGCTAAAGTAGAAATCAAAACGCATCTTGTTGTGTTTGGAAAATAATTTATAGCGGAAATTCGCAACGAAAATTTCAAAGACGTTTATTTAAAAGTAATGCCAGCGCTTGTGTTTGTTCGTTATATTTTGGTAGAATGACGATTCCTCGAAACGTGTACATTCCATTACTTTACATTATTTAACGGTGTTATCTTAGCACGGAAGTCAGAAGAGATCAGTAGCTCGAATCGTTTAGTATCCGGTGAGTCAGTATGCGACAAAGTCGAGGCGCGGTTGGGGCGATAATTAAAACGCTTTTACAAAACTGTAGGCAAACAGCGCTTAAGTGGCTGTCATTCGTTACCCCGTGGGCTGTGGCAAGTCGGTAAGTCGCTGAGCGAGCAATCAATCACCCGACATTCCCTTCCCCACCGACCCATTACATTTCTATTTTGAAAGCTGCTTATTAAGCGGGGCCGGTCGGAGAGACAGACAGGTTTCACGGTATAAAATATCGGGTTGCCGTGGTGGCAGGGACGGTTCCGTGTCGAGGTAGCTATGGTAGGCAAACTGGA